GTAAAATTTATAATGTCATTAATATATATTGGCTATTTAATGAACAGATCCACAGAAAGACAAAAGGCTTGGATTTTTGAACCATGACCAATTTTAGCTTTTTTAATGTTTGTTCCCTACATATCTCATAGTGGTTACTTCATGAATTTTTATAAAGGTATTTGTTCCTCAGTGTTAGTTATAACTTAAAGTTATTAAAAGTCTTAAATTAACAAGGGAATTAGCTCGCAGCACTTTATCGCCAGAAAGCAAACTGCTGTTGAGTTTCATAATAATCCAAGGTGACCACGCCGCTGTGCTCCGCTGGGAACTTTATTACTAGCGCAATTCTAATTAAAAGATCTCGGATTTTTCCATTTGTCTCATTTAATTTTTGCCAAAGACATTCGCGAGCGTTTTCCTTGAATATTAATGAGATTTTTTGAGCAACACTCAAATTACACAACCTAGATATTATGACGTAAGCAAACAACAAAACATCTTATAACGTCTAGGACTGGACTGCAGTCTGTAATGGCAAAGTATCTATTATTAAGAACTGGCGTCGCATTATCATCATCATCAGCTGGCGGCTACATCTACACGCCCCACACATAATTAAAGATGCAAGACTTAACACTTTTTATACTATTATATGACTATTATATATTAGGTGGAAGTGTATTGGGGGCGAGCCGTCGACATCGGTTCCGTTCCATCGGTTTATGAACACAGTTTTAACCTCTTTCTGTGTTCAGTGGCTGGCGTAGTGAGCTAAGCCGTCGACCACGAGCATCGTTCGCTGCGACTCAGCCGATCACTGTATGAGTCAGCAAGCAAAACGCTGTAAATTGTGTACAGTACTCGCTATACGGACACTCCATTTAAAATATAGAACTATAGAAAGGCTAACTACAGACAAACAGTCAGGCGTTAACTGTGAGCCCTATGTGGACAACGCGTAAGCTCTGAGTAGAAATTAATGGTCAAGAAACACTGAATGCGGATTTATTTTCCTTGTTCAGAACAATAGCAGTTATATATTATAAGATATCATAATAAATTTCATGAAAGAAACGGTTACCTATTTACATTTCTGAGAACTGGATACAGTACAAAAATAAAATCATATTTAACATCGCAACGAAGGAAGCGTACACACACCTCATACGACGATTATTTGATTTATTTATTTTTTACGTTCGCACGATCGATGTTCTATAGAATTACAATGTACTGCAGTTTCATTTTATTTTCGTAATTAGAATGCTACGAAGGTACCGACTATTTTTTCTTTTCTTATTCTAGAAATATAGTCAAATCTCAGTATCTATTACATATTTCAATTATTTTATGTATAGCCTATGTACATCATTATTTAAAACTTTGAATTCTCTGCGGTGGTATCGTCTAAGCCTAGATTACACAGTGCGAGCTGGACATGTCAGTTACAGCTACTCGCATTGTGTGATCGCATTATACGAGTTACTGTCATGTGCGAGTGGGTAAGTAGTTCGCATTCGAGTTACTACAACATTTTTTTATTTTATCTGCCACTAGCCTTTTTCACTCGCAATACAGATGCAACTGTCTACTTTCACGTCATCAGCTCGCACTTGTATGACCGACGGAGACGAGTCGAGCTACTGCCATACAAGGGTACAGCAGAACTGTGTAACCTCCTTCCACCTCCGTCTTCGCTGTATACAAAGATGGCGAGCCGACTACTGAGTCATGTGCGAGTTGCTGCTTGTGCGTGGGAGGGGAACCGATTGACGAGTAGAATAAAATTAAATGTAGATACTCGGATGCGAGTTGCCAACTGGCTCGCTGTAGTATACGCAATTCGAGTAGCTGTACTACTGTAACTGAGTAGGCCAACTCGCACTGTATAACCTAGGCTTTAAGTTTTTTTTTTGTATTTTATTTCGGAACGATAGACTAGGCGAGTAAAGTGTTCGTTTGAGATTGTATAACGATTTACATAATGTTCAGTGAGTGATGTATTGTGTGTTTAATAAAGAACTGTTAAGCGCGAATCGGCATTATAATTTCGAACCCCATCCCGACACGTAGCAATGCTATTGACTTCTTTCACAATTAAGTTCCCAATTCATAAATTAGAATTTACGTAAAGACCCGTTATGTTTGACAATTTAAATACCATAAACAAAGGGTATATTTTAAGCTAAAGTATTTGAAAAGTTTATTTGATAAAATCAACATAATGGCTACAGCGCAAACTCTGATATCAATTTTAATGCAACTCCATGACAGGTGGATTAAATCTTGTGACTAGACAATAGGAATATTTCAATAAAGTTGTATTATGAAATGGTACGTATATTGTTCTTTATCAAATGATTAGATTTCTTAGCGAAGCGAGGGAGGAGTGATATTATGCTATCCGAGAGGCGGCCGAGGCGAGTAAGGTATTTTAAGAGCCTGTTCAGACGTAGTCACACTGAAGTATACGGTTTTTATTATATTTTTAGGCACTTTAAATATTTTATTCAAATTCGTACAGAGTTTTCCTTTTTTTGTCATAATACAATTATTATAACTCTAGTTTTTAAGTTCTTTAGTTTTATTTATATCCAATTTTTATAAATATTTTTGTTTAGCAACTGATATCAGCTATTTCATAAATTGACGATTAATCTCGTGCTATTTAAATAGAAATATTAGCATATTTATAACAATATTAATAAATAAAAGATAGTTATATAAATATTTAAAAAACCTAATAAAGAATGTATAGTAGGTATATTTACACGACTACGCAAAAACTGGAGTGTTATATTTTCAGACTAATGTTTGTATGATCGTTCGTTTATACCAACATTACTTCTAAAGAATAGGTCGGGGAAAATTTCGTTTCGCATTATAGTATGTATGAACTTGTACTAAAATCTCTTCGGCTATACCATTTGTATTTGGCTAGTTTTAGTATCAATAAAAAGTTTAAATTTTAAAGAAGATAATACCAAATTCAATTTAGAAAAACGTGTGATTTTCATTTGTTTTTCTTGCTATCAAGATGAGTGAATCTAATGAAAAAATTCGATATATTTTAAAATTTTACTACAAAAAGGCAACGCAAGCCGCGAAAAAAAGTGTTAACGACGTCTTCGCTGCTCGTCCGCGGTCTGTTCGCTGCGCACCACCTCCGCCTAAAAATCACTTGTCAGTGTAATAAGACCCAAGTTAAAATTACGCCACCACGAGTGACATATGCCTATGATTAAATAAATATCAAAATGATGGAGAAATTAAAATATACAGACAAGACGTACAAACCTTTCATATTATGCTGCAAAACTTTGAACATGATTTTAACTTTGAAGTTAATTTTTTGTCTAGTCTATTGGTCTTTTTAAATTTTGACCCCTTCAATATTTTTTTTACTTTTAATAATCTACTAATAATAACAGCAGCGGCATTCTATGGATTTATTAACGTCATAATAGTAAGAGGAATATAATATACTCTGTTCTAATATCTCGTTAATTTGATTGTAGCACATAAGGTGTAAGTGTGTCGACCACACCAGCACCCTCGCAAAACCAACGTCACATTCTAATTGCACCCTAAGGCAATTACCTTAAAAGCCTGTCAGTGGAGCTAAATTTAATGAACTTGAAATTAAAGTGAATTGTCTTATTTAATCCGTCTTCGCCTTCCTTTTTTTATCTCGCTTGTAATAACTTAATTATCACTAAGGCTTTCTAGACCTTTAATCAAATACCTATTTTGATCCTATTGGAAAGTATATTCCGCTGATATAAATATCGTGATAATTTGGTCTAATAATCGTACGGCTTGTGCTGGTGTTAAGTATTACCTTAATTAAACAATAATATATTGTTTTCAACTTTCATGATCACTAACATTATAACTATTAACGATCCTCCGTGATCATGGCGCTTGCAACAGTGCCGAAATATCGGAAACTCATAAAAAAACAAGGTACATGGTAACAATCCCGTTAATAGCTATAATTTAAATAATAATTTTGGTGTGGTAACTTCTTATTATTGTCTTGAACTTTTTACTTATGTAGTTGCATCAATAATATAAAAAACAAATTCGCTTTCTCTAACAAATCATGATTTTCAAGGAGGATGCCAAAACTTCAGAGTTTCAACAATATGAGATTTCTTTTTATTACTTATTTGATAAGTATATATATCAGAATCGGGTTAATCAATATTATTTCTATTACCACATTCGGTCTAGTAATGTGCGGTTGACTAATACTGTTGGGGTGTAAGATTCCTCAGAAATAGGGACTTTACTACTGATGATAACAAAAAAAATAATTAAGTTCCAAATAATTAGAAAGCCGAGAAATTTATGAAAAAACTGTGTTCATTGATAGATTTTTACTGAATAAAGTAATATGAAGACAAAATTTCCCGGTAAAATATCCAGCGTGTTAAAAAAAATATATAATATTATCATGAAAATATGAAAGAAATCTGTGATCGCTTACACATTTCAGTAAATCTTACTTTAGACTTTTGCTCTGACACGAATTGAATTGTTTTCGTTCCATCAACTTATTGCTATTGTTTGAATATTGATCTTGGATCATGGTCCCGTTATTATACTGTCAAACTCGGTAATGGGGAAGAAATTCTCCTTTTTTTCTCTTCACAGGAAATGTGTATATAAATTTACGGGTAAATTGACAACAAATTATATTATGCTTGCTTTAGACAAGGTTTTCATAAAACGAATTTGTTCTAATTCAATTACTTACACAGTAGTATTATACAAAATTACCAGATATCGCAACTGATTTGTCGAATGATGTTGTAAAGTAAAAGAAAATTCTAATATTAATAATAATATTGATTCCTAGTCTTTTTTCTTTTTTGATGTGTCTGTTACGCTCGAAATTTACATTATTCCTTCACACTTTCACACATCCACGGACATTGTCAAGCTATTTCTTGTACATTTAATTTATAAATGGTAATAAAGATATATCTTAATATATTTTGTTTTTTCCACAGTTTGCAATCAATTCGCGCGCGGGGTGTTTGCGATGCTGGGTGCTGTGACACCGGAGTCTTTTGACACTCTCCACTCTTACACTAACACGTTCCAGATGCCGTTTGTTACTCCTTGGTTTCCAGAAAAGGTAAGGGGGTGGTTCTTTGGAAATTTGTTCTCCTTGTAATTTCCATGGCACTTTTCAAAGCGCTAAGAGGAAAGAAAGAAAATTTCAGAAATATAATGAAAGCTTATGCAAATTTATTAATAAATTTGTCGACAATGAAAATTACGTTTAAAGACCGTTGAAATTACCAAGTACATAAAAAAATATATACTGATTCTGATACGAAATTCAGCTCAAATAAAAGTTGTTTGTCGTAGATTTAAGAAGTACTTTCATGTTTTGAAATGATATTTAGCAAAGAATGGTAGTTTTCAATAAAATACAACGGGACTGATAGTAGAAACATGGTAGTAATAACATTAATATTTAACTGATTTCCTATTCTCATTTGTAATTATAATTTGTTCCCGTAATATTGGGCATTGGAATAAACACAAAAGATAAAGAATAAATATTTAAAAAAAAGTATGTACATACTAGTCCCAACGTAAATACGTTGGGCTGTGATTCCGGGCACAAACACCTAGTCCAGCGAAAAGGACTTCACTTCTCACCGAATATGCGTCAACGTACAAAAGGTACGTCAACACTTAAAACGATACAATTATTTTCAGCAATTTAATAAGATTTAGAAACTTTGCACTTGTTTTTTATTAGACGTTCCAAGGCTTTTAATGAATTTGGCACAATCACCTTAAAGCTAAGCCTCGTAAGCCTATGGAGTAAGACGAAACACCTCTTTAAAAAAACCACATCATATAACGTCTGGAGTAAGATCGTTATTCCTATAGCATTATAATAATAATTTTCGTTTTCATTACCCAGCAAAGTTTTCGTTTGATATAAAAATTATATTTATATGCTGCCCAGTAGAATAATTTTAAAATTTTCTTAAGATGTTCAAGTCCTATTGTAGATTTCCAAAGATGTTTATTTATTATTACACAGACAACTTGTAAGCGACTTATTGTTTGCTGGACAGTTAAAAAATGATTGAGTTTACTTACTTGAATAATTAAATTTATGCTTCCTTTATGTTTGGAATTCTTATTTGATATTTTCTTTGTCTAGCTTTAAAGTAAGTTGAATATAGGTACTCTGCTTTTCACCGTCGTAAAGTTTGTTTATGTAAGACTACCGTCATACTTTATTACAAAGACTTATTACTTAATAAAGAAACCTTTTCAAGAAGGTTATTGTCTTGAAAAATAAAATAAAAATTCATGTAAAATACATTTCAGACGAGTATAATAGAATCTTTTTGAATCGTGAACGCATGTTTCTATAAAACTTATTCATGGAATTTCTAGAAGAATTGTAATAAATACATCAGTAGCAATGTTAATATTTAATTTAAACGAACTATAAAAATTAATAGTAAGCAGTAAAAAAGCGACCTAGTTCATGTAGTACTAAAGGGTTCAACGCTATCATACGAGTGACTCAGTCATATACAGGTTGTTTCTTTTAGGGTGTCAAGCCAGTGTGAGCAGATAACAGAGTACCATACCTATCAATTTAACCCCCATGCATGTTCTACGATTTTTCATAATTATCGAGTTAGAATTTATTTCGTCATTTTTTACGATTCAACGATGAGACAACTTGGATAAAGTATAACTTTGTTTTGGGTCGACTTTTCTTCGTTTATTTTAACAGAATGCCTATTGTTTGTAGTTTTATAAGTAAAATAATATCATTCCTTACTTTAACCTAAGATATAAAAAAAATAGAAATTGATTATGTAAAACAAAATGATTTTCAATAAAAATAAAAAAAAATAAAAATAGATGTTCCATAACTTCTGGCTAATTTTAAAAACTGCCCGACTTCATAAGCTTTCATAAAAATACAAAAAAAGATATACTGAATTGGGCATTATTTGCTGAAATCTGCCGTTGGATCGTATAATTTTAATATTTTATGATTTCGTAGTATCTTTGCATATTTTGTCTATCTTAAGTTTTATTGATCTTTTTAGGTTAAGTGTAGCTACACTAATGAGCTCATTAGAAAATAAAAATAATCATTTTATGACAACTTATCACTCAAAACTCCTGTTATCCTACCCCTCAGATATTTTTTTTACGCTTTAATTAGGAAGTGTCTACTGGTATGTCAAGGACTCTCGATTGTGCATCATATTAAGCTTGAACTGCAAACTACGAAAAATCGTAGAACATACATGGGGGTTAAATTAATAGGTATGGTGCTCCGCTATCCGCTCGCACTGGCTTGACACCCTAATAGAAACACCCTGTATATGTAGAGCCCATTATTTGACGCATCATTGGACGTGTCGGGTATCTTCGAATCGTCTTCTCTAGAACTGAAGATTTATCTAAAGAAACTTTTTACTAGAAAAAAATCTACGCGGTCCAGACAATAGACGGGACTCGAACTTGCACCCTCCGCTTCCCGACCGCTGCCTGGACTAGCTTTTTTCTAGTAAAAAAATTCTTTACGTAAATAAAAAAAGTCTTTACTTTTAAACAAGACGATTCGAGGAATCCCCGACACGTCCAACGATGGGGTCTACATATGGCTGAGTCGCTCGTGTGATAGGATAATAGGATTTTTTCTAGTAAAATTTTCTTTACATATATTTACGAGTTAAATATTCATTAACATGAATATTTATCATAATCGTATCACGATGCTCATACTATGGTGGCAGGGGCAAGTGGCTTAATATTGGACATCTTGCAGGTTATACCACCTTCTTCGGGGTTGATAGACCACGCTGTCAGCATGAGACCTGATTATCATCGCGCCATAGTGGACACGATAATACATTACGGATGGAAGGACATCATCTACGTTTACGACTCGCACGACGGTGAGTTGATAATTTTAATTTCATACTGAAGATACAGTAAAATTATACTACCTTTTGGTGGTGTTGTGTTTCTGTCGATGAGTAAAATTCCAGGGCTATACGGAGTATGGGGATTAGGTTAGGTAAAGCAATGGCGTGATTAATATTTATTGTAACGCAAGCATTTATAGGTTATAGTGGCCGCTTAACATCAGGCGGGCCATAAGCATGATTGCCGCACTTTTAAATTAAAAAAAAAACCTGATGAAACAGTGGTTAGAATGTCGACACTATATACTTTTGGTACCTAATTTATCAAAATTAATACGGATAATGTTCCATACCAATATTTTGTTTTAAGAGGAGTCGGAGATTTTGAAAAATAAAAGTTTATCTATGGAGAAGTAGTGCTGTTAATACTGTTTGGTATATATTTATGTGTATGAATATTGAACGTCAAAAAAAATGTATTAAGTGTTTAAATAAATATTAAAACAGCCGCCTTACATGGTCATTTCAACCGCTCACTATTTTGGAGCTCTTAGTGTGACGTCATAGTCCATACCAACATAACAAACAAGTCGACTATTTAGCAGTGTGTTTCATATGTGAATTTCCCGCAAGTATTGCACATTTTCAATAATTAATTTCTCACTCAAAAGAAATTTCATTAAAAAATATTGATGGAAAGACTATTTAAAAGTAATGGCGTTTATATTAAAAAATGAGCCTTATTTCAAATACAGGAATTGGCGGTCACTTTAAGAATTTGAATTTCCTGCAATTTTTTCGCACTTCCAATCATTAATTCCTCGCAGAATACAAATTACAATAAAAATATTGATGGAAGGACTTTCCACGGTTAATGGAGTTTATATAAAAAAATAAACCTTTTTATAATGAGATACATGAATTGGTGGTCATTATAAGGAATTCACCAAGATTTCAAATTTGAATTTCCCGCATGTTTTTCGCACTTTCAATCATTAATTTCTTGCACAAAATAAATTTCATTAAAAATATTGATGGAAAATATTCAAAAGTAATGCTTTATAAAAAAAATAAGCCTTATTTGAATTAGGTACATGAATTGGTGGCCACAATAAGGAATACAATAGAAGTAAAAGATAATTGTGCATGATTGGTTTTACGTAATTGGCTGTTTTCAGAAGAGAAATATACCTAATTAGTGTTCTAATATCATTAGTTCTCGCTAATCAGAAGGAAGTTTAATATGTATATAATAATTATTATTGACGTTATATATTGTACATATACCTATTATGTTAGCGGAGAATCTAATAAGACCACTTGAAAAATATACCGTATATCTATGTAACTACTTTTACTTCCTAATAATATTTGCGTGTTTGTTTATTTTCATTATAATAGTCATATCCACCTCGTGGAATTGGATAACATACTTTTTCATCCCAGTAAAATGTAAGGCTAGGAGCTGTCATCATCATCAACCCATGTTCGTCCACTGCTGGACATAGGTCTCCCCTAATGCACGCCACTGCTCCCGATTTTGTATTTTCTAGGAGCTGTACTAAGCGCTAATGTATTCCTTCACGAAATTTGATATGTTCTGGCATTTTTCTCTTTAGGGATTCTTCAAATTATTATAAAATTCATAATATTATTAAAATTTATACCTTACTTGTTTTATCAGGCATACATCAATGTATGTAGTCAATGTCACTAGCCGTGCAAGTTTAAACAATAAACTTTTAAAAAATTTATAAGATTTGTTCTTCTTAACAGATCCGCTTTTGCCCCAAAATACATATATTTTTTACGTAGTACTCATTTTTGTTTTTTTTCCAGAACTACTGTCATCTATTGACAGTTCACTTAGGGAGACACTTTCCAAAATTCTAAATTGTTCATTTTCTGATAACGCTTGGAAGCAGGCCTCTCTCCCTGTTCGTCTCGGAGGACCATATTTCACATATTGCCCTTCCCGCTTTCCTGTCTTCTGCACATGGTACAGCCGAGCTCTTTAATAAAATACTATGTCCTTGTTTAGGCGTAGTGGAGCTGGCTCACCTTGCAGAGACCAGGAATGCTTGGTGTAGGGCATGCCCGGGAGTAGATCCACCATCCTCCTTATTTTCAGAGAGGCAATAGGACGAGCCATTCTGTTTGCGTCTTCAGAGTGATCTTTTAGCTTCCTCTGAAAACGCAGCTGAGCGTGCTCGCCTCCTAGCGGTCTTTCAGGTAGAGTCTGGCTACGGGCTGCAAGCTCTTCCTTCAGCCAATATCGGGACTTTGCTTGACAGGAGCGCTCTATCGCTAGCAATTTCACTTAGACTCGGCGTCAAGACCAATCACCCCCATCATTGTCGTGGCGGAACTCGCGTCGGTGAGTTGGGACACCATGGTCTTTCATGCCAAATGAGCGCTGGTCGAGTTTTCCGCCACGCCTGCATCAATGACGCTCTTGTCGCAGTCAATGTGCCAGCGGTCCTAGAGCCTAGCGGCATTTTTCGAGACGATGGCAAGAGATCTGACGGAATGACGCTCATTCCTTGGAAGCAGGGTCGTCCTCTTGTATGGGACGCATTTTGCGTGGATACGCTCGCTCCGTGCCATACAAGTAGTACCTCTCTGGCTGCAGGCGTGGCGGCGGCCTCTGCCGAGAGCTCCAAGCGGCGCAAATATGCAGCTCTCAATGAGAACTATATATTTGTGACGTTTGGTGTTGAGACTATGGGACCATGGGGTCCAAGCGATCGTTCCTTCTTTAAGGAATTGTCTAAGAGTCTCACCGAGACGACCGGTGATCCAAAAGCTGGCAGCTACCTTGGTCAACGGATTAGCCTTGCTATCCAACGAGGAAATTCTGCCAGCCTATTGGGCACCATTCCTGATAGCGGCGCTGGGGGTGATATATTTTTAATTTTGTAAATTGTATATTATTTAGGTACTTAGTTATTACTAGTATTTGAGTTTTTAGACATTAAGTAGTTTTAATCTTTTGTAATGTTAAATATTTCTATCTAAATATAAATAACAATAAAGAAGTCTACCCAATACCATATTCAAAACACAAAAGCGTTATATTCAAACCTTTGACACTTGTCACTCGAACCAAGCACTAGTTTGACGCTTAATGACTTTTGGTTGACTAAAACCGTAATCTGTATACAGGCGACAACAGTAATTCGCTACCAATTTAATTCTAGGCAACACGCATTCATTTAATATAATTGATTGCTATTAAAATCCATCCGTAACAAATATATTTAGTAATTAAATGTAATTCTATATATGAATAGATTGTGTTTTCGATACACAGATGACCATACTTTGGAATTGAAAATCTTACAAGTGATAAGTGTGATAAAAAAATCATATTCAAGAACAAATTGATTAAATCAGTCTATAAGCTACCTAAAATGTTGGTACTTCGATACGGAATTACATCATATTAAAGACGATAAAATAAGATCGATAAAGATCAATAAATTCGATTGTCATTATGGTCGCGGTAGCATAATTGGCCAGTGTATCCGCCCGAATAGCGGAGGGTGCAGGTTTGAGTCCAGTCTACTATGGAATTTATCCAGTAAAAAAATCTATAGATTTCAACAACTAGCAGTAAAATGCTTTAAATAAAAATTTAATAAACAAAAATGATATTACTTAAAACTTACCATAATTTACCACAGGTGGTAAAATTCATGAGCCGGAAGTTGTTTGAGCTTAAGAGTATAACAATCATCTGTATAAACAGATTACAAAAGTTGTGTTTACAACATTTTATAACAAATTATAAATGTAAATATAGGAATTCCATTAGAAAATAAGTGCACAATGAGTATTTTTTTTTAAATAAAAGACACGAGATTGAAGTTAAATCATAATTATTAACTAAGCTGAATTGCCCAAGAATTGTTAAATGAAATTTTCAAATCGAAACATGAATTATAAGGAAATTATTAATTTTGATTGTCATCAAACATTATTCATAAACTATATATAATAAAATACTACAGTAGCTACAATCATCATTTCTGCACAATATTGTTTCCAGGTAGCGTCTAGTTGTTGCTTAATTATTATTAAGTTCTCCTTTTAGAGGTAATTGATACTTCATTACTCTTTCTTCGAATTATTGGTTCGCAGGGTTAAGAAATTAAGTTCACACAAGCGTAATATTTTGCGATGATGTTATATTTCTCACTCTTTTCCTCTATTTTTATCTCTTCAAAGACCTATCCACAGGTAAATTACACCATGAAACTGAGGAAAACAACATTATTAAATAAAAAATCAGGAAACTGTACTGCAGAGCTTGATAAAGTAACTAAATAATATAGGTACATATAATATGTTTCTTTATTTCTCTTGCTCTCTGCCACACACACTCATACACCTACACACACACACACACACACACACACACACACAAATACACACACATACACACACAAACACATTTCTACCGTGAATTTTGAGTCAGCTGAGAAACTTAAAAAACCTTTTACTAAATTTAGTTAGAATAGTTATAAATAATAAACGTATTACGTCCTTATTCATGCAACCAACCGATTCATTCTAGGTTGATCGTATCATTTCACAGCTCTAAGAAACGATAGCGCAACTGGCATTGATGGTTTTAGCCCTATTCTACATAAAGCTATGAAGGCAGAAATAATTACTCCCATTGCTTACATTCTCAATCCCAATATTGCAAGGGGGATGTTACCAGATAGTTGAAAAAGGGCCAGAGTCGTGCCTATCTATAAAAATGGCTCTTAAAAGAGTACCCAAAACCACAGGCCGATTTCTCTTCATTTAATTTAAGATAGCTAAAATTGTTAAGAAATAATTTTAGAGTTATTAAACATGTATAAGATTTTTCATAATTGCATAATTATCGAGTTAACTTGGAGACGCTTCCTGAAAAAAAAAATATTATGGAAATAAAATATACTCTACTACTTTTTCGAACTTTTGTCCGACTTTTAATATCTTGAATTCTTATATTCTTCTGCTAATAAAAACAATTT